GTCCCCAGCAGGCATGTACCCTGCTGTACCCCCACCCTGGGGCGCCCGGGCATTCTGTGTGGGCGCACACGCGCAGCCAGATCCCTGGCTCTGCAGTCCACACCCCCACATGCAGCCAGGCAGCCCCAGTGCGCAGGTGGGGGCTTCTGGACATCACCTCTGTGAAGCCAGGCAGGGTCCCCAGATCTCTGAGCCCAGGCTCCTTGTCCCTGCCCTCCTGGAAGGGTCAATTAGAGGAAAAGTTTTCTGCCGCCTGGTTGTGGCTGCAATTATCTGCACCAATTAACTCCAGCTGTTTTGCATATTAGTAGAGCTGGTGCCACCAGGCGAGGATTTGGCAATGCAGGGGCTAAACAGCAGCGCCTGAACACACCCCTCCACCCACTGGTTGTCACTGGGGTATAGCACTGGTGCTCTTCTGCCCTGGGGGCCCCCACACATGTCCACCCCGGCTGGGTGCCACCGCTGGGTTCCCCCTAGTTCTCTGCCCCACGTTGAAAGCATCTCGAATCCTGGGGAGTGACACATCTGCCCTGGCCGTGCCGGCCCCCAGAGCCTCCCAGCAGGAGCTCCTGGCCTGAGAGCGAGCGAGCAATGCTTGATTAATTCCACATAAAACAGCAATTAAGGCAGATTTAATTAGGAGGAGACAATCTCGGCTGCAGAGTTTATGAGATTTATCAGCCTTCTTGGTGTCCTCATGCCTTGAGCAGGAGCGTGTGTGCGCCCACACATGCACTAACAAGTGTACACTACACACATACACGTGTACATCATACACACACATATATTACATGCACATATATACACATGCTCACAAGTGCACACCTATCTGTCCTCATACCCATGTGAGCACACACAAGTACACAGCACACATGTACACTTGTACCCATGTGAGCACAAACAAGTACATAGTACACACAGTCAGAGGCGCATGTTTCTACGTTCCTACACACGCCAGGGTACATGCACATACAAGCACACGTGCACTCCAACTCTGTGCACAAGCACCCATCCTTGTACATATGTGAACATGCCTATGTGTGTCAAACCCTGTGTCCACACAAGTGCACATTTGCCTCCACTCCACACTGCTCAGGCAGGAAACAAGGGGGAGCCAGCTCCTCCTAGTCACAGTTTTCCCGCGCCAGCCTGAAGCACCACTACGCAAGGGATGCCTGGCATCGGGCAGGATCAGGTCCTCTGGCTGGGTGCTGCCTTGGGGAGATCCGCAGTCCAGGGCACGCTCCGTTCCTGCCTTCTGCCCCTGACACGAACCCCACCACCCCTGACCCCAATGTGGACAGAGCCCTGTCCTGGGACTGGCTGGGCCTGAGCCCTACAGAGTATGGGGAGGGGCAGGTGGGCAGGAGGGGACTCACCGCGTCATGGTGCGGATGATCCAGGGGGCGTTGCCGAGCGCTGGCACCGACTCATCCATCAGCGGATGCGTCTTCATGAAGTTGAGGATCTCGTCGGGGAAGGCGCTGGAGGAGTTGTAGCGCATGCCAGGGGCGGCGCAGCACCCGGGCCTGGCAGGGGTGGGACAGGAGGGGGCCAGACTAAGCGGCATGCACCCGGAGCCCCCCAGCCCTTGCCACCCTGCTCCAGGCACAACCAGGAGCCGAGTCACAGGGGCCTGGAGATACCGGAGCCCACGTCCCACGAGCTCTCCCCATAAGGACCCCCCTTCCCAGCCCCCATCCAAGGGGGCGGTCCCACTGCTTCTGGCCTGGTTGTATCAGACCTAATGGGAGCCCAGCTGTGGGCCGGAGCACAGGACATCGAGGACACAGGTGGGTGGGAGATGGGGACTTCTCCCTCCCCAATAATTCCTGCTGTCCACTGCTACCCTGGTCCTAGCTCCCCACCTGCCTTCAGCGGTGATGCCCAGGGGATCCCAGCTCACTCACCGTGGCTTCGGCACCAGCTCCTCAGGCACCGGCGTCCAGATGGACTCAGGGGACTTCTGCTCCCGGAAGCGCCCCTCGAAGACGGCCGCCACCTGGGCCATGTCGAAGGCGCAGACGGCCGAGCCAGGGATGCTGGGGATGCAGACGGGGGTGTCAGGACCACGGCGTCCAGCTGGGCTCAGCCACCTGCAGCCTCTGCCTCTACAGACTCCCCTGCCCAGGGCCCCGCTGCAAGTGCCCCCACCACAGGCAAAGGTCCCCGAGCAAGAGATGGCTCCTCCAAGCTGGTGAATGGCTGCGATGGGCCCTGGCTGAGCACTGCTGGCGCTGGGCTCTGTCTGCAGGCCTCCCAGCCCACCCTGTAGCACAGTCACAGCAAGGGGCACCCGTGGCCTTTCCCCGGGGTGGCTGGCAGGGCCAGCTGGGACTACGGGCTGATGAAGCCAGTGCAGACGGCTGCACTGCTGGAGCCAAGCTGGAGCATGTGGGTCTGGCAGGCTGAGCTTCATCCAGGCACTCGGCTGGGTCAGTGGTGGATGCTGAGACCTAGGAGGGGAGGGGGTGACCAGGCCCTCCAAGGAGCCCAAGGCTATTCAGAAAAGCCCATTCAGAGCCACACACCCATGGCAGATCAGTCACAGAGCCACTTCCAGCTCCAGAGCACCGGGCCAACAACGCGGCCAGCCGCGCCAAGCCTGGAGAGGTACCACATACCCATGGCCCTGGCAGCCAGGGACCAAGACAAGCTGGGAGGGAAGGGGCTCAGTGCCCTGGCTGCCCCAGTGAGATCGGGGTAGCTGGGGGGTACATAGGTGTTCCCCTCCTCCTTTCAGACGCACTGGGAAGGTCCTGGGACCCTTGTTCAGGGCAGCCACTGATCCAGCTGATGCCCTGTGAGACATCCCCAGCCGAGGATAATGAATGACGCCCCTCTTGGCACAGGCAGTGAAAGGGTCCCCAGGGGTCTTTGGCCATGCCTAAGCTGGCATGGCTCCCCACGTGTACGCTGGGACTGGTGTATGCCCCAGCTCCCCCACCTGTTGGCAGGTGTGGAGAAGACAGCCAGCACCACGGGCCGCCCGTCCAGCTCCAGGATGTCGGTGACGGCCTGGATGACGTTGAAGTAGAAGTGCGAGTCGCCCGGCACAGAGCAGTTGAGCCGGGCCTTGAGGAAGGACGTCCACTGCTTCTCCAGCACGCGCTGCGAGCCGCCCATGTCATTCTTGCACACCCGCGCCACCCGTGACACCACCACCTGCAGTGGGATGGGATTGGATGGGCAGGCATGGGGACAGGGCACAGCCGAGGCTACCCTGCCAGCCCAGCCCAGGCCCCAACAGCCAGCCTGACCCTCCTCCAAGCTGCAGGACCCACCTGGCCGCTGTGGGAATCAGCGGTGGTGGGATGGGGGTCTGGGGGCTGAATCCAGCCATCTCTTCCCACACTCTGGGGTCCTGCACAGGGTGGTCACCCCCCTCCCCAACCATGTGCTGCTGCCCCCACACCCAGCTCCCCAAGCCCCACCCTGTGCCCCCCGAAGGCAGCCTAATGGGAGTTATTGCTCCCTCCCATGCATGGGCCAGGCGTCTTTCTGTGCCCTCCAGCCTCTGCCCTGCTGTCCCCAGGCTGGGGTGCAGCCACGAGGCTCACCTTCTCCAGGTAGTTGAACTCCATGGCGATCTCCCTGAAGAAGAAGTAGACGTGGCTCTTCCACTCCACAGCATGGACGAAGTAGGGCTCTGAGCAGGGAGAGTGGAGATGATGGAGTCAGGGCCTGGCCTCGGGGGCAGAGGGCATGGGCAGGTGGGCAGTTCACAAGTGCCCTCACCTAAGGCTGCTGCTGGGGTTTGGTGTGAGCTGCCCCTTGTCCACAGCCCCACCACCAGCCTCCAAGGGGGCAGGGATGTCCGTCACGCCCCACCCCAGGATCCAGATCACTGCCCGGCAGGGAACCTTGTCCTCCCCGCCCGCCACCCCCTCGGGGAACCAGGAGCCACCTTTGAACCACTTGGAGTCGTGCTTGACAGTGCGCAGGGTGGGACTGTCCCCCAGGCTCCGGTAGATCACGGCGTCGATGGCCAGGAAATCCGTCACTGTGGCTGTGAACAGCATCCCGCCTGGGGACAAGAGAGAGAGGGGGATGTGTGAGGCAGAGGGAAGGATGGAAGGAGAGATGGAGACGTGGGTGGATGGATGGTGGTTTATAGGGACAGGTAGACAGACAGGTAGGCAGGCAGATGGACTCAGGAAGGAGATCTATATGGAGGGAGCGAATGGTAGTATATGGGGACAGACAGAGATAGACAGATAGATAGATAAAGACAGCCAGGTGGATAGACAGACGGACGGGCAGGTAGGGTGCCTGGTAGAGGGGTAGGAAGAACAAGGGAGCAGAAGGCAGGGGGAGGAGGGCAGTGCCCGCAGGCCGGGCAGCACTGACCTGTGAAGAGGGCGACGTTGGCGTGCTTGGGGTCGTAGGGGCACCGGGCCATGCCGCTGACATTGTCTCCAATGGGCTCCAGCATGTCCATCTGCAGCAGGTGAGAGCATGGGGTCAGAGGCTCCGGTCCAGCCCATCCCTGCTTGCTGCACCAAGCCCTAACCAATGGGCCGGGCTGCCTTGGCACCCTGGGCCCCCAGCCCCCTCCCTGTGCTCCTACATGTCTCCCGCTTCCCATGATCCCCCCACACCTCGCTGTGGTCTCGTACTGTGCCCCCCCAGTGCCCGTTCTGTGGAGTCAGAGCAAAGCAATCTGTTCCCGTGAATATTTCATGCACTCCAGCTCTTCCTTGCTCCCTCGGCTCTTTGTAGTCTGCCCTTGTTTTCTCCCTGCTGAGTCCTCCGCAGACACGGCTGTGATCAGCCCATGCCCCGGGCGACCATAGGGACCTGTGCGGCAGCGGGTGCCTTTCATCCCCCACAGCTGACATGCACACAAGCCCAGCCCAGCCAGGGGACTGCCATCACCCCGGGCCCCTCGCTGCCTTGTCCAGCCCCATCACAGACAGCACGGAAAAACACGTGCATGCTGCATCCTGGGGCAAGTGCTACATGCATGTGGCACATGTGTACACACCTTGTATGATATACTGCTGATGCGTGTGCACTACAGACATGATGCACACTACATGTGAATGCCTGCATTACATACATGTGTATGCTGGACGAGCGGGCCACACTGCACACATGCTAAGGACCTGGGAAACGCCTGCCACAGGCGTGTTGTATGTGCATGCACACAGGCAGGCAATACAGACAGGGCATCCATGTTCTCCGGTGGGTCATGCCACGCGTGAACACAAGTTCCCCCTAGGGGCACGTGCCATGTAGAAGCACATGCTGCACACATGAGATATGCTGCCAGTACATGCATCCGCGGGTGCAGCCCCCCCATGCCGGGTGACTCACGCTGTAGTTGGCGCAGACGGGGTTGAAGGCGTTGGTGCCGCACACGAAGAGGGTGCCCGGGTCCTGCACCAGCAGCACCTTGAGGAAGTTCCGGCACTCTGCCTGGGGGAGAGGCAGGGGTCATGCCCAGCCCCGCCAGGCCCAGTGCCCACCCCCGCATGGCCACCACAGACTGGCCTGGGGCAGGTGGGGGGGGGGGGCAGATCCTGCATCCCGGGGGGGGCCCCCGGGCAGCAGGAGGCAGAACTGAGCTCACGGCAACCTCTGGGGCCCTGGCGTTGCAGGAAGCCGGAGGCCTCTCCTCCCAGGGGACAGCACCCCACAGCCCACAAGGAACAGGAGCAGTCTGCACTGCTGCACTTTCACCCCTTAACATTTCCATCTGGAAGGTGTAACAAGTCTGTCTGTCAGTCCACCCCTCACTCCCACCCAAGACAGAGCCATGCACCTATCCCGGGCACACTCATCCATCTCACCCCCACGTCCATCCACCCATCCCCACCGCCAGCGCTGGCCTGTCTCTGTGCGGGTCCTTCTACTCCTCCCTGCTGTGGTCTGAAATCTAGATGCTCCACCCTGCAGCCACCTCTTTCCCTGTTTCCAGGGCCCCTTGCGGGTCTGCCATGGGAATGCTGGTACAGCGGGGCGAGGGCACAGACCCCCATGCTCAGCCTTGCTGGGGGCGCATTGGGGCTCGTGGGCCGGCTAGAGGGAGATGCCAACCAGAGGATGGATCTGCCAGGGTGGGCAAGGCTGGGAAGGGGCTGAGATGATGCTACTGGTGCTAGCAGCCCAGGGAAGGGGAGACCTATGTCTCCACTGGCCCCTGGCCAGGCTGCTCTAGGTACTGGGATGAGGCAGGCACTGCTGCCAGCTTGGGGGTGTTTTTGTTGCCTGCCTGTGGTCTGGGCAGAGCAGAGCCCAACCTGCCTCCCAAACCCCGCAGCCGCAGCACAGAGAACATCCAGCCAAGCACCTTCAGCTCAGTCCTTCCAAGCCCACTCGGAAACCATGGAAACAAACATTAAGGTGCTTTGATTGGGAAACAAAGGGAGGGTGAAAAGCTAGGAAGCTGCCTGAAAGGCCTGGGCAGAGATGAAGGGAGGCCAGGGAGGCTGGGAGCAGCTGCAAACGCTTCTGGAGAGCCCTGAGCTGGGGAGGGTGTGGAGGGGTGTGTGTGTGTGGGTACAGGCGTGTAGATGAAGGTGTGTGCATACACATATATGCGTGCATGCAGGTGAATGTATGTGCGCACACGTATGCATGCATGTAGATGAGCGTGTGCGCATGCATGCAGGAGAAAGTGTGTGCATGCAGATGAGCATGTGTGCACACATGCATGTAGTTGAGTGCTGCGTGTGCACATGCGTGTGATGCTGACAGCCCCATGGCACTCACAAGGGTTCCCACCTCTTCAAGTAAAACAAACCCAGGCCAGGCTGGTGAGGAAAGGGGGAGCACAAGCGTCCCGGGCTTTTGGGAAGTCAGGCCTTTTAGGAGGCCCAGGAGCTCCAGTGTCTTCTGGCCGTCCTGGTCTGAAGTTGCTTTCATGCACGTGCTCCCCCCTGCCCCGTCCCTGTGGGCACCACTGATCAGTGCCACTGCCCTCGCAGGGAGAACCCCTCACCCCTGCCCCAATGAAGCAAACACAGAGACCCCCTGTGAGATCTGAAAGGCAATAAGATTCAGGCCTCTTGGGGTCTGCGATCCCAGGGGAGGTTCACAGCATAAGCGAGACCCTGATGGGGATGATCAGGGATGGAGTGAGGGCCTTCCCTGCTGGGAGACAAGGGGAGTTGGGTGCATCTCTCTCACAGCCAAAGAAACCAGATGCAGGGTTTTCAAATGGGCCGAGGGGGTTGGGGCACCCCAACCCCTACAAATCCCAATGGAAACCACAGGGAAAATCCCAGCCCCAAGTTCTCCCAGCACAGGGAGCCTATGTCCACATGGCAGTGCTGGCTGGAGGGGCTGGGCTGGCATCTCAGAGCCACACACCTGTCCCCTGGGCCCTTAGATGGGCAGGCAAATAAAGGGACCTCATTCCACAGGTGGCCTGACATTCAGCTGGGGAGGGGGCAGGAAGGATGGGGGCTGATGGAGAAGGGACCTGGCACGCTCACTTGCAGGCGCCTCCACGTAGAGAGAGGCTGATGCTCCCACAGGAGAAAGAGTCACGGGCTGCCCGGACACCCCCCAGCCTTCAGTTCCCTACGTGGAAATCATCAGCCTTTGAACTTTTTAAGCCTCTCCAGGTCCCACCTCACAGGCCCGTCCTGGTGCTGGCCCGACGAACCCGTGTGTGAACAGACCTGCTCCCAACCAAGCCAGTGAGCTCAGTGCCCAGCCCCAGGCCTTGTCACACAGTGCCGCTCCCTGCCCCTGCCTGCGATGATCCACTTCCCGCCGCAGCCAGGGCCAGGGCCAGGGCCCGTGTCTGGGGCTATGGTCTGGCAGGGCACCGGGGCTCCCGCTCCCCTGGGGAGCCTGGCGCGCAGCCAGCCCCGGCCCGGAGTGGCAGTAATAGAATGGGGAAATTGGATTTCTCGCCAATGATGAGATGTGTCTGTTCTGATCAACAGACCAGAAATAATTAATTACAAAACCAATTATACCAGCGTCTAATAAATCACATTTGACACAAATGTTTGCAGGGAGCTCAAAGGCGGCGAGGGGGAAGCGTGTGGCTCTGGAGAGAAGCCACACCGGCCCCCCCAGGTGGCAAGTGGGGCTGCTCTGGGGGGGCGGTGGTGCCAGCGGGCTGAGCGGGAGTGCCTGCACCCCTGCCACTTGCAGGCAACAGAGAAGTGGGTGGGTGCAGGGGGCACCCCAGGGTGGGGATTGGGGGGTAGGGCTCACCCTTACCTCGTGCTTCCCCTTCATGCGGCAGATGTTGATGTCATGTTGGTTCGACTTCCACGTCAGCTTCTGGGAGGGAAACAAACGGCAGCGGTGAGTCAGATGCATGGCAGAGACAGCACGGAGTCCCCTGCTGCAGCCGCACTCCCCAGAGCCGTCGTGAGTTGGCCCAGTCTCAGCTCTCCGCTCATGGAGCAGCCATGGGAGCTGCACAGAGGGGCCAGGACCAGCTCAGTCCCTTCCATCAGCCCCTGCCCAGAGCTGGAGATAGGACCTTGGGGCACCCTTGGAGACCTGCTCTGCCCACAAATAAGGGGTGCTCCTTCCTGGCTCTGGGGTCGGTAGCTGGAGGAGCTCCACTGCACCCCCACCTACCCGCTGGTAGCGCATCTCGCTGGTGGTGGCAGGCTCCAGGCTCACACGGTACAAGTTGTCCCTGGGGGGAGACGGACAGAGTCAGAAACAGGCAGGAGCACGGGAATGCCCCAGTGCCACCCCAGTCCGATACCGGACCCCACCCAATCCTTCCTAGTGTACACACGCATGTGCATACACTCACACACGTGTCTGATGTACCCCCAGCAACCAACCCTGTTCTGCCCTGCCCTGCCCACAGAGCAGGCACAGGTCCTCTGATTGGGAGAGGGTTGCCAGCCACGTGCCCACCCAGGGCAGAACCTGTGTGACCACAGCAGGGCAGTGCAGAGCAATTGCGGCAAGGAGCTGGGTGCAGAGCTCGACCCATGCTGGGCACCCCGTCCACCTCTGCCCTGGCTGCAGGGTGTGGAGGGGAGCAGGGGCTAGGCATGTGTGACCCTGGGGCAGAGGGTGGGCGGGGGGGGTACTAGCACAGACATGGGGGCAGGCTTCTTTCTGGGGGGGGTTTCCTCTTCCCTCGAGTCCCATGGGCTGAACCCCAAGAGGGGAGCAGGGAAAGATCCTCAGCTGCCCTCACCCTTCCACGCAATCTGGCTCCTGACACCTGGTCTCTGTCAGCCGGATGCTACCCACGTCCCAGGCCCTAATACCAATGCTGATCCTTGCCCCCACCCCATGCAGCCCCCGTACTCTCCCCAGACCCCAGCTCGGCCCTACGTGTCTTTCACTCCTCCCCTTCCTCCCGCTCGGTCGGTCCCTCCGCCCCATGCGTGGCTGCTGCATCACTCCAAGTGCCAGAGCATTAATGAACCGCAGGGAGAGTTCACTCTAATTGCTGCCTCGTGGGGCTCCTACAGCTGAGCGGAGTCGAATCCTCATTAGAGCAGAGGCTTGCGAGATGCCGGCCCGGCAGAGCTGCCCCCAGTCCCCCTGCTCCCCGCCGTGCATCCTCCGCTGGTGCTGAGTCCCCCACTGCCCTTGCCCCCAAAGTCAGCCCAGGGCACACCCCAGAGGGGCACAGGCTGCAGGTGGGGTCTGGGGGGCTGTTGAGGGGGGGCAGGAGCCATGCTAAAGCCACAACAGCAGCTTGTGCTGGTGGGAGCACATGTGCCCTTCCCCGGCTACCGGCTCTGGCCTGCCTGCCAGTCTGCCCACTGGGCCCACACTCCCCCTGCCCCAGCACCTTCCCTCCTCTGCCCTGAGCTTCCCGCTCACAGCGCAGAGCAGACACACTGCAGCGCCCAGACACGGGGGACTCGGGATCCCGGCTACCTCTTCTGTTAGCCAGAGACAGACACACAGACAGAAGTGCGTGTACAGGCGTGGGATACAAGCAGGTAGGCATGTACAGGGCTGGAGAGAGAGAAAGATATGCAGCTAGATGGGCAAGTATGGGGGTGCACAGTTCAACAGATGGACGGACAGACAAATGGACAGACAGATGGATAAAGAAGCAGACAGACAGATGGGGATGTACGGAAGTGGACAGAAGTACAGATAGTTGGATGGATAGATAGGTGGGTGTGGATGGGAAGGAAGGATTCATTCTGGACCTTTTGCCCACGGTGCCCCAAGCCGACGACCTCCCTTGCTCCCACCCTGTGAGATCTGGCCCTGGGGGTGGGCACAGGCACACTGCTTTCTCCCTGGTATTTTGTTTCTCAATCGGCTTCTCAGACTAATTTACAGGCCAGTTTCCACCCTAATCGATGCACTTAGAGGCAGCCTCAGCTGTTTAAAGCCCCTTTCCAGAGTGCTGCCACTGCCGGGTGAACGGCAAGGCTGGGACCAAGCACTAACTCGCGCCTGCAGGGACGGGGTGATTTATGCCCTAGGTGGTCGCTCCAGAGCTGTATTCGTTGCTATTAAATGGAGCCGGTGAAGGGCTAACGATGGAACGCGGGACACAGGAGGCAGGCGCAGGGTTTCTAGCCGCCGGGTGTGGCTGGACCAGCCGGACTCGCCTCAAGCCCCATGGAGAGGAGTGTCGGGGTGTATTTTTCCCCAGCCAGCAGGGGGTGCTCACGCTCTGTCCAACCCTGTCCAGCACTCAGCTTATGTGGGCCTAGGGCTGCCTCAGCCATGGGGCAGGGTGCACCACCCCTGCCCCTAACAGAGGGGCAGCCTGCAGACACTACCACTCCCAGCATGCAGTGCTTAATGGGCAAGGAAGTCACCCTGGGCTAGCAGGAGCAGTGCATCCTGGGATAGGGAGTGTCTGCAGCCCATACCTCCGGGTCAGGCCTGGGCTGAGAACTGCATGCTGGGACAGGGGTATGCAACCCCCACCATCTGCCCAAAGCCCAGGGAGCGTATTGCATGCTGCGATAGGGCGTGTGTCCAGAGCATACCACCTGCCCAAAGCCGTACAGTGCATTGCATGCTGGGATAGGGAGTGTCTCCAGCCCACCCACTGCCCAAAGCCAGGCAGTGCATTGCATGCTGGGACTTGTAGGCTGCAGGGGCCCCTTTCTCTAGCTCCAGGCTCGGCTGGCTGCAGCAAGGGAAGAGCTCCCAGCTCTCACCTCATTCTTGGCTGGTCCAACAGCAGGGCAGTCCCTTCGTCCCGGGCTACCCCACCAGCCAGGCAGCCTGCAGTGATGGCAGGGGTAGAAAGCCATCCCCTCCCAGGGCCTTGGCCCCTTGCTAGGGTGCTGCTGAGCAAAGGTCTGTAGGTCCCTGCAGGGATGGGCATCCCTTCTCCTCCCTGCAGGGATGCAGCCCTCCCTCCTCTCCCTCAGCACACATCACCCTCCCTGCCCCCCCGCCAGTCTACCCGCAGCTGCTTCATGACCCTACATTCCCCCCAGGTCCCAACCTCTCCGTGCCCCCTACCCCTTGGCTTTGCCTGGACCCGCTGGACCTGCTCCCCAGGGGCTGGCCTAGCGGCTGCAAGTGGCACATACCTGTCTCCGATGTACAGCGTCTGGTTGACCTTCAGCATGCGCTGGATGTTGAGGCGCTCGGCCCCGGCGCCATCCGCGCCTGAGAAGCGGCTCAAGCCGTGGCCCACGAACACCGAGTACTGCTTGACATCTGGGGGGCAGAGACACAGGGTAGCCATGGGCACCTTCACTGGTAGGGTGCACACGTCCCCCACACTTGCCCTCTGGGACCCCTGGCTCCAGGGCTGCCTCCATTACAAGCGAGCTGAGTGCTGTGACCTCAGCACCCCCATCCGCACCCCCTCAGCTCTGCCTGGCTGGCCCCTATTGCCCCCCACCCAGCTTTGTTTATCTAGCTACCCCACTGCATGCCTGATGACCCCTCACCCATGGGCAAGGAGTGCCCTGTGGGACCCAGGCCCTGCCCTGGCAGTGTCCACACAGCAGCTGTGTCCTGGCCGCCCCACGTCGCAGCCTTGCTGGCAAGAACCCCCCAGCCTCCAAACCCAGGGAGTTTCCCAGCGCTGGCTCTGAGCCCGCTGCGCCAGCTGGGTACAGCCTCCCCTTCCCCCAGGTCCCCTTTCACTTACAGTCCTCGGGGGCCACGCTCAGGGGCCCGGGCTCTTCGGGGAAGGCGGCGTTGCCCGCCCCCACCAGCAGCATGGCCAGCAGCAGGGGCAGCGCGCGGGGCAGGATCATGGTCTCCGGGGTGCACGGGTGCCCGTCTCACCTGCAAGCAGAGCGGGGTGAATGCTGCGGGTGTGGTGGCAGGGGACGGCCGGCAGGGGGCAGGCAGGGACCCCCGAAAGCAGGAGCAGGCGCCGCTGGACAGTTCCAGGGTCCCAGGAGCAGATGGAGGCACCGGGGTCGGGGTCGGGGTCGGGGTCGGGGGGGACTGGCAAGGATTCCTGCTCCCCGGGAGCAGGTGAGGAAGGGGCAGAGGGACTGGGGACATCCCTTGCACCCGGGCTCCTGCCTGTGCTGGCAGAGTGGGAGTGGGCAGGGAGCCGGCACTCCTGGGTCCTCGGCTGCCGCTCTGCCCTGGCCCATAGCGCGGCCCCAGGCACGTCACCCTGGGAACTGTGCAGCTGAGAGAGAGCAGCCCCCACCTCCAGAGATCTCCCCCCCACCGCCCGAGCCACTCGAGACCCCCTCTGAGCCACCCAAGGCCTGCGATGCAGCTGTGGGCTTGCTGCCAGCCCAGGTCAGGGAGGGAGGGACTGGTGTGGCCCGTCTAGGGACCCGGCACTTTCCCCGCGGGCCCCTTGCCCCTGACCACTCAAGGCCCAGCTCACACGGGGAGCGGGGGGCAGGCTCCACGGGGCTGTGCGGGGGGGAGCGACAGGGCCAGGCCCCTCTCCGTGGGGCCGGCTGGGTGAGGGGCTTCATGTCGAGGCCGCTGGGCTCAGGCCAAGAGCGGCTTGGCTGGAGCAGAGGCCGCTGGAGGGGTGTTGTTTTATGGGGAAGGGTGAAGCAGAGTGAGTCATTCCCAGGCGAAGGAATTCCAAATATGCTGGGAACCGGCTCCCTCTGCCCCGGCCTCCCCTTCCCCCTCTTCCCCCATCCCTGAGGCTCCTGACCAGCCTTCAGAGCCTCTCAGGGCTGAACCAGGGGCTGGGCCTGGCTCCTAGGTGTCTGGTCCGGAGCGTGCTGGACCGCAACAGCACCCTGGGACTCAGCACTATGTCTCGTTGGCGCCTCCTCTCCGTCTCAGCATCGTGTTCATGGCACCCAGAGCCACTGGTCCTAGCCCGGTCAGGCTGCTCCAGGGCAGCCCGGCTTGTGGGGGACAGCTGCTGCACGGATCCAGCCCAGTCCCCAGAACACACAGACACAGAGACAGACACAGCCCCCGAGGGACGCAGGTAGGTGCTAGCTGCTGGAGAGATGACCCGGGCCCTCCTCCCAGCTGATGGGGGAGGTGAGGACGTGACACTGAACTGAAGGGCAAATGTGCCCATCAGGCTGGCATCTGGCCTGCAGAACAGGCTGGGCCTGGCATGGAGGCGGGCAAGGTGACGGGGGAGTCAGACACCCCCCCGCAACTAGCACGTGGGCACCAGGGTGTGCACTGCTCGCTCCCTAATGCACACGCAGATTGCGCTTGCTGTGCCCAAGGACACGGCGCTCCACGTGGGCACGCACACGCCAGCACCACTGGCTGGGGCTGCTCCTGCACACAGACCCACCGTGGGCTGCACGCATGTGCATGTGCATCTCACACACACCGCTCCTCCACCCTGCACTGCCTCTGACGTACACCACTCGCTGACCACGCACAGGCACGTGGCGGGAACATGCTTGCCCTGCAGGATGTTCCCATCCCAGCTCTCCCCACCACCTCCCACTGGAAAAGTACCCGTCTCTGCAGTAGTCCCTGTGCTGTGAGCTTGAGGGACCCGTGCAAAACCCTCCAAGCCCCCCTCTGCCCATAGCAGATGCTACCCTGCCCCCTGATGATGGATGGCACTGCCTTCATCTCCCCCCCAGCACCCCACCCCACTGCTTGGGACAGCATCACTGGTCGCAGAGACCGCTCGGGCCTCAGCGCTACACCTAGACAGCTACTAATCCCGTGGATATGTCCCCGGGGCGGCAGGCACCTCGAGGAAGAGCCGGCCTGTGGCTCTTCAGATGGGTAGGAGGGAGCAAGCTGCCAAGCGAGATGTTCTCATCATCAGCCCGACAGCTCGGCACGGGGCAGCTCAGCACTCGCCTCTGGTCCGAAATGCAGCCAGACCAAGCTGTTCGGAGGTCCGGAAAAGTCAATCAGAACATATCCGAGCCTGAAACAAACGGCTGGCGACACAGCCCTGCTCAGCCCCTGCACTCCCTGCTGTGGCAGCCCAGCCTCTGGGGCAGAAAGCGCCCTTGTCCCCGCCGCGGGGGCTTGGCAGAGCCGGCTGCAGCTCCCAGCTGTTTTGCCAGGCAGATCTGGGGCGTCCAGAGCTCGGGGCCTGGGCGGGAAGGAGAAGAAATGGAAACTGGGGCCCTTGGCGGCTGTCCAGCGGCAGTAATTAACAAGCAAGCAACATTTTAATTGATCAGTCGAATTCATGCAACCAGTGAGCTGGGACTGGGGTTAAATCAAACCGCCTTCTCCCCTGGCGCCCCAGGCGGACGCCGTCAAGGGTGAAATTACAGCAGGGCACTTGGCACGCGGCGCCGGGCCCCCACGCTGCTGGCGTGACACAGCTGAGGGGGGATCCTCCGAGCTCAGACTACCGTGCAGAGGGGGTCCTGGGGCTGCCTGAGGCTCTGGGGTCTTCTACCGAAGCAGCGGGCTGTCGCTAAGTGGGTGGAGGCGAGACCGCGCCAATAGCTGGGACTGACCAAGGAGCCGGCACGGGAACAGCCGGTCCCAGCAGAGCCGAGCTCTCCAGGGACGCAATCCCAGTACAGGGAGGAGACCGGGCCCGGCTCGCTTACAGGCACAGTGGGGTTATTTCCTAGCTGTGGCTTTGCACCGACAGCTGCAGAGCCGGTGCGAGCACAGCCGCCAGCTCCCGGAGCCAACGGCACGTCCCAGACCCAGGGACACGGGCACTGACACGCGGCCCCTTGGCTTCACCCTGCCCGAGAGTCCCCGGCTCCAGGACCTGACAGCATCCCCTCTGCTCCCTGCGAGTCCCCAGCCGCGGGGCACAGCCCATCCCCTGGGCCCTCATCGCTGACCCCCTGGTGCCCTCCGTGCCACCGCAGCCCCTGCAGCCTCCCTCGCTGCCAGCCCCGCTCTGCACCTCCTCACCCTTGTGGCAGCCGCTGCCTTCGCCTTCCCCTTCGATTCGGTCCCCGATTCCCAGCCGCCTTCGTGGAGGCCTCCCCTGCCCCCGCCACGAGGGGACATGAATAATATATGTGCCTCCGACAGGCACCGGGAAGGCACGGTCGTAATTAGAAATTAAAAGCTGCCTCTTTACACAAAGGGGGCTCTAATTCAGGGCTCCGGGCAGGCAGCCGCCAAGCGCAGCCTCAATATTTCATCCCCGTCGTGAGACGGATTCAGAAGCGCCAACGCCAAGCTGGCCCTAGCCGCACGGATGCAGTGAGAGGGGCTGCCCGGCCCAGCGCTGCCTCATGCCACCCAGGACCCAGCCACGGCTTGGGGGAAGACAGGGCTGGAGGGGCCAGTGGTCATTCATTATAAGCATCGGCAGAGCATGGGGATTAATCGTGCAATTATGTCTCCTGACAAGCTGCCTATCTAGTAGCCTGATTTCAGCCTGGGACAGCACCCATCCGAACACTATCACGGGGTTGTCACTTCTTACATGCACGCATAGATGTGTACACACGCACACAGATAAAGTCGGAACACACAAAAGTTGTGCACACACACACCCAGAGATAAATAAATGCACATAAAAGCTGCACACGCACAGACGCATGAACGCACATAAAAACTGCATGCACACAGATGCACGAAGGCACAAAAAATCTGCACATGTATGTGCACATACCCACAGATGCATGTGTGCACAACCATGGGCACAGACATGCACGTGCCTAAATATACCCGCGTGTGTGCACAGACTTGCACGCGCACATAGATGCATGTGCGCACCAGCACAGGCACACAAACGTGCATGCACGTGCATACAGGAGGGAAGCACCGCGGTTGTTTTTAACACTGCCTGCTGCTCCATTCATACGTCGTGAAGGGGCCTCACGTCCAACGAGGGGGTGGCTTGATCCCAAAACGATTGAGAACCGCTGGTCTAACTCCAGCCCAACTGCACAATTGGTCCAATAAAAGACCCCATCCTAAGTCCTCACCTCTTGCATAATTTCTGGACCGTCACGGCTCTATCCCATCCGTCAAACTCTATCCCAACCACACAATGGGTCCAATGAAAGCTGCTGCCCCAAGAAATCCTCACCTCTTGTGCACCCAAAGAAGCGGACGTGACCCGGCGGGGCTGCCTGCTAGAGGGAATGGAAAGGAAGGGCAGCGCATTGTAGGCTGCCATTTACAAAGGGTTAATTGAATTTTAGGTTAACGGAGGGGAAACGAGGGGCTCTATTTTCCTCTCCATGGCAAGCGATGGCATCTGGACAAACACAAAAGCTGCCCCTACCCAGAAATAGCTCCTCGCCAGGCAGCTCCAGCCAGCAACCGCTTCCGCGTGACGCTGCAACGGCAAACATCTGGCTCTGGGAATACCCCCACCTTCCCCGGGGGGCAGCGCAGGGGCCGGGCCCTCGAGGCGTTCCTCGGCGGGTACCGATGGGAGCCCAGCGCGGGACCAGGCGTGTGATGGAACGGAGCTGGTATCCTCCGGTTACCTGGCAACCAGCATCCTCTCTTCTGTTGCTGGACGAGCCCCAGCAGGCGCTGCCATCGGGAGGCCTGGATTGAAGGCACCAAGTTCTGCCTGGGGCGGAGAGGCTGAGCGCTCCTGCACAGCCAGAAGAGGGGCCCCAGGCTCCCCAACCCGGGTCTCTCTGTCTGCCCTGCAGCGGGGGAGCACAGCGCCGCCCAGAGCGGGGAAGGGGGCTGAACACAGCACCAGCCGATGCATCCGTAGCTCCGGGCCCTGCAGCCTGGGGACGGAGCCAGCTGCACCTGCAGCACAGGCCTCGGTGGCGGTGAATCAGGAACTCAGCTATTTAGGGCACCGGCTGGCAACCGCCTCGAGGGAAAGGAGTTGCATGTATACACATATGTACACACCTCTCCCTGCACATGCAGCACACGCATGCCCCTCACAGAGGGGGTGCTCTTGCCA